GCATAAGGATATACATATGTGCATAATCACTGCAACATTATTTGGATAGCAAAAAGTGATAAATAATACAAGTGTTCAACAATAAATAAATGGCTTAAAATTACAATGCATTTAAACTGTGTAATGCTGGGCATAGATTACATATAATGAATTAGATTTGTGATGATATAGATAGTGTTAATGGCAGATCTCAGATTCAAAATATTGAGTTAAAATACAGAAAAATAAAATACACACAGGCACATACACATATGCTTCTATGAACATTAAAAACTATAGAAGGAGACACATTTAAATGTTATTGTTCACCTTATGGAAGTAGGATAATGGCTCACTTTTTTAGGAAGAGGAATTCTTACCTTTATTTTATACAATTCAGTACTTGGGGTTTTTAAATGTCATGTAAAAACAAGAAAGCAAACAAAATAGTTGACTAAATGCCAGAGACCTTCTGTAAAGTAGTTGTTATTTGCTCCTAGATTAGATTGATAATCAAGGTCCACAATCACTCTAAAATTGAAGTAGCCACCTCTCCTACTGCCCTAATGTCCTGAGACATCAAATCTGGAGCCCTTCCCAACCCACACTATGAGAACCTGTTATTTTCCATCCATTAAGTGACTACATATCCTAGTATGCAGCAGTGGCAGGGAGGACAGACACGGCTAGAGGAAATGGATAGCGGCAAATGACATTTTAGAAGGTTGAGACCATCTCATGATAAAGACATAAAGTGAGAAGGAGTCAAGCAGAACCCTGGGAGCAGTAAAGTCTGAAGGTGTAGTTTTTTGTGTTCTGTTGTCAAAGAAAATCTGAAGTCTGACTTAGGATTGGTAGGATGTGTCTAGTCTTCCTCACAGTCAGATAAGAAAGAAGTAGGAGCAGAAACCTCACTTCTGCCCAGGAAGGTCCCGGTAGATCAATAACCACTGGGTATTGGACACCAGATGAGCGGCAATGCGTATCCCCTGCCCCTCAGCTTCAGATCTAACATTAAGCATCAATGATCACTGAAGGGCCAAGAAAAAACTATACACCTTGTTGATTAGCAGATACCAAGTAGAGCTAAGTTTCACCTTCCTCAAAATCCACAAAACAAATTTGTGTAAATGAAAATATTCTGTTATATAGGAAAGCATATCTCTGAATGATATTTGAAAAAGCTTTAAAGGTGAAAAGTTTAATAATACATTGGAAGCTCTTTACTAGTGAAAATCATACCATCTCCTAAAGCATTCCTAACATATAGGCTGAGTAGTGAATTAAAAAGACTAAAAAGGCATTTCTTAGCCAGTGTGAGGTTAATTGCTTAACATGGCCAATACTTTTAAAATTCTGCCAACTAAAAATACGTTTATTAAAAGACTAATATCATATACAATGTCTCTAGCACTTTACTACGTTTACGGATGTGTGGATTTGCTAAAGTTAATCAACTGTAAAAAAAAATTAAAATCAGTATTAGAAGTCAGTGCATTTTTCATATGATTTTGTCATACAAAAATTGTAGGACATTGGAGTAACTATGATGATACTTGTGGGTGAAATGAAGTTTTAACAGTAAGCCACCTCTGTTTGAATGCTTGTGATGCCATCAAGAGTTTTCTCTCATAGAAACAGTGACTCTTTGAAGCAAAGTCATATGGATTTCAAACAAAAAAATTAACATTTTCATTACTCTTTTTGTTCCAAAAGATTTAGAGAAAACACATCTGGTACCTCTGGATCTTCTATGTCTTTCCTTCTTTTACAGAATGAATAAGCCATTCTACTATTAGATAGAGGAGGTGGGTCTCCATTGGGTAGGAAATTTACAACAGAGAGTAAAAGTGAATTCTTGAAGATGTGACAAGCCAATTCGAGTTTCTGCTCTCAAGTGGGATTAAAACTCATCAATATATTCCCCTTTTTTAAATCTCTGACTGGTTCCTTCCCTCTTCCCCACACAAATACACATATAGAACCAAAGGGTGGCAGAACAATCAAAAAACTGTACTAGCAAAAGTCATGTATTTTTTCTTAGTTTATGTCTGTTTTATTTCTATCAGTTTGATAATTTTACGTTTCATAGGTTGCCAGTAAACTTTTACTATATGTAACATTGACATAAAATAAAATGCCAATTAATTCTTCCATATTTGCAATATTACAGTTTGCAATACATTAATGGTCCTTAAGAACACATTTTGTATTGATAAATTTATCCTCATAAAATAAGTTACAAAAAGACACTTGTAGCGGGTTGATTAGTGTCCTTTCAAAAGATATGCCCACATCCTAATCCTCTGCACCTGTGAATAGAGCCTCATTTAGAAAAAGGGTCTCTGAGATAGAACTAAGTTAAGGATCTCAAGATGAGATCCTCCTCCATTATCTGGGCAGACAGGCCCTAAATCCAACAACAAGTCCTTATAAGGGACACACAGAGGAACAAACATAGAGAAGAGAGGCCATGTGAAGATGGAGGAAGAGATTAGAGCCATAGAACCACAAGCCCAGGAATGCTGACAACCACCAGAAGATGGAGGCGGCAAAGAGGAGAATGCCTCCCAGAGCCTCTGGAGAGAGCATGGTCCTATAAATACCTCAATTTCAGACCTCCAGCCTCCAGAATTGTGAGAGAAGACATTTATGTTGTTTGAAGCCAACCAGTTTGTGGTAATTTGTTCTGGCAGTCCTAGGAAACTGATAAAACACTTTTTCTTTTCATGCCCCCCCTTTCATTCAAAGATTATGAATAATGATAATCACACTCGTGGAGCACTATCTGCATGTCAGAAATAATGATGTTTTTTATAGTCTTTTTCCCATTTAACTTTCCTAACAAACCCTGTGAAGATGACATTATTATTATTAACTCATAGATGAAGAAACTGAGAATTAGTGTTCAGACCCAAGCCAGTCTGGTTCTAGCCCATGTTCCTCCATTAAAAATGCTAGAGAAAAGTGGGAGTATACAGTAAATGAATACTTCTTTGCTCACATATGCATTTATAAAGTCTCTGGAAGGAGTGGGGAGAAGAAGCAGACGGAAGGCAAGGAGGGAGAGTACCTTCCATTCTATTACATTTTTAAAAATTTCTGAATCATGTTAATGTATTATAAATTAAAAAATAGGAAAGAAAACAGCAGTTGCCTAGCGAAAGAAAAAATTTAAATCCCCAAATGAATAACAAGAAATTAATAAAAACATGAATTTATGGGCTAAAGGAACAATTTTGAGAATATAACTAAAATCATACCAGACTTAGGAAACAACAAAACACATCAAGAAAGTATTGACTACTGGAGTGCTGCTGACCCTTTTGTTGTTATTTAAATAAAGGTCAACCCTTTCCAACAATGTGTCCTAACTCTCCCGCCTCTGCTCCACTCCTTAGCATCCACCTCACCACTCACAATAGGCCAAGAGTAGACAATAGTAACTAAATATCCCAATGTTCAATGTATAATCTCTCCCTCAGGCATTTTTCTCCTTTTCTATTTGTTGTAGTTCTTAAAGTTTGACAACGTAGCTTAAGAGAGTGGACAAATTTGGTGTCTCAAAACACAGATTATGAAATTATTATCAAGGGAGTTATAAATATGTATTCTCTGGATGTTATTTAAGAAAATGGAGATTTTCTGTCCTGAGTGATTTGCACTCAGACCCTGAATTAGGAGAAGGAATTACCTATGACCTCTGATAGCTATTCCTGAACCTACTATTATTCTAAAATTTTAGTTCCTTTCACCATCATGCTCCTATCTAAAATATGCGAGCTACAAAAATACCAAAGAAATAGGATTCTTATTGTTATATTCCTCTTCCTAGGATTCTTCCTTATTAAGCGACTCCTCTTTTCACTAGAAAATAATTTCCCTAATAATTTTCAAAAGAACAAGAAAATAAATTTTTATCAAGATAGTGACTGTTTTTCATTATTATCAATTAGCATTTTATCAAATCTTTACGACCACTCAATATGCCAATCTAAGTCGGTGCTTCATCTTTTCCACAGACACATGCAAACCCCAAAGATAATTGAGTAGATTAGAGTGAACACCAATAAAATCTAGGTCAAACTTAATAACCTTCAAACAGCAGCAGCCATGGTGCATACTAAACGCACCTTCCATGAACAAGATGTTTTGATGAAGCCGAAACCAATTCAGGGCCTTCTGAGGACGATTCCTGTCCACCTGCTGACTCTTGTATGACTTTTTCTTTTCAGTATATTTACTTTCAAACGTAACTTTCATTTCTCTACTTTCAATAGAGTGTTTAAAATGACAAACTGATTACTGGTATAATTAATTTTTGATTGACTTTCTCTATTACGACTCACGGAAATGAGCCATAAGGGACAGAAACTGGCTGGGGTGTAAAACTGTGGCAAGGTGTATTCAACTAACCTAAACCTTCAAGTAACCAGGATTTCAATATTAGAAATGACAAACAGAACTTAGGAAGAGAGCAGAATCAGCAAATCTGTTGAGCCTACGCTACCCAAGGCTTTTCTGATACAGGTACCACTTGTCTTCAGAATCATTCACATTAAATTCCATGGAGCAGTCAGGGTATCTTTTCAAGCACCATCAAGATGGCAAGGGCTTCAGGAAAGTGTTTATCTCATGGCTTGTTCCTCACTTGATCTCTAGGGAGGACACTGAAACAAAGGTGCTCTTACAAAAAAGGTTATACCATGCACATTTTTTTTCCACAATCAAATTCACTGATTCCTTAAAAAACATATTCTACAAGTACCTATTGTGAACTAAGGCATTAGGGAAGATAAACAATAAATAGGCTCCTATGCTGGGAGGTGGGCACCCTAGTTAGGGACACAGTGGAATGTGCTTAATGCTGCAACACATGTTGGTGATGTGAGAAGCACCGAGGGCTGACAAGGGAGAGGATAGCTGATTTATTCTGGAGAGTTGTCTTTGAGATAGAAAGGCCATTGAAGAGCTATTCCTTTAAAGGTTTTGGAAGTAATTTGGCTTTTTGCTTCTTCCAGATGGAGTATCCCATAATTTACCCTGCATTATTGAGGTGATTGGCAAATGTCAGGTAAATTTGAAAGTCTAAATGCTAGGAAATGATCATATATTCCTACATTTTTGAAATAGTATTTTCATGTTTAATATGCTTTCCTAAGCTTCTAGCTCTCATTATACTTGGGGGTTTTAAAAAGGAAATTATCATTATGCGGTCTGTCCCATGAATTATCATCGCTGTCACTCATGCCAACCCCTTCCCCCAGTAACTGGTCTGAGATTTTGTTAAAACAGTATTCTGAGATAATAATAGATTTACAACATTATAAAAATATTAGCGCTCTTACATACCTTTCACTCAGATTTCCCTAATGTTAGCATCTACATTGTCATAGACCAATTATCAAAACTAAGCAATGAACATTGGCTTAATACTATTAACTACAAACTTTATTTAGATTTCAACAGTTTTTCTCCTGATGTCTTTTTTCTCCTCCGACGTCTTGACATTTTTTTTTAATAATTTACTGAATGATCAGTTATTTGAGAGAGAAAAAGGAATAGGAATTAGAACTGTCAATCTTCTGAAAGGAGACATTCTTGGTTAAGAATATTTTCTGTTTTATGCTTTCCAACATAAGCTTTGTTCAATGGGATAAGCTTTGTTCACTGTTATTTTATATATTACTCATTGTGTAACCTTGGCTGAACTGTGATACATAACAGGTGCACAAAAATACATTTTTCACAATTCCATTCTCTCCTCTCCCCTGTTATTTAAAACAAGGTGGTTCTTTACACTGGGGATGGAAGGCTCAGTCCCATCTGGTGAAGTTTCACAAGAGAGTAGCATCTGTAAGTGCCATGTTCCAGTGGGAGAGTGGAAGCTGCAGACATCCACACTGAGATCCTCGTCTGCTAAAAAACAGGAGCTCCTCCACTAAGATCAAAGCAAGAGGTGATTTGTCACCAGCATCTCTGCACATCCCTCCATTTCTGTTCTGCATTATTTCTTATCCAATTAGCCAATAAAGGACAAGGTGCTTTTCTTCTAATCGTTCTCCTTTTGAAGAGTTTCATTGTAAACCGCACAAAAGAATCTTAGAAAACCAGGCTAGAGAGAGAAACACCTGAGATGACACCCCCCTGTTGTTTCTTCTGTGCCCCTTTTCAGACTGGCTGCACTGGCTGGGATCACATAATATTTTCATTTATTCAGTAGTGTGAAAGCTTGGATCTTGGAATAACGAATGTGCTTAACTACCCATGGCACACCACAAGGAGCATTATTATGACATATTATGAAAAGTGGAAGTATAAATTGCTCTGGCACAAGGAGGAAACTCCATCTCTCCTAGAGAGTAACAGTAGCCTACTTCAATAGAACTGGTCAGGGAGTTGCTTTTCAATAATACTCCAGAGTCCTTGGCGTTAGTCAGAAATTATCTTTTCTTGCAGTGTCATTCATTTCTAAGTGTACTGCAAAGCACTTGTAGCACTGCTGGAACTTGTAGCTTTATTATAGATTTGGTTCATTAGCTAGAAAAAAACATTAAGAGCCACAGTATTTTCTTTGGTTAAAGAAGAATAAACTTCAGTCCGTTAGTATTTTCCACCACTCCCATACAACATTCACAGTGTTCAGATGCTATGAAAATAATAATTCCACTCTGCTTTGAAATTAGAAGCATTTATTAAATTGTGGAAATAATTGTTACTTATTTAAGAGGTTGCTGGAAGGTCCAGTGATCAGGAGAAAAAGTATGTGCTAATGTTTGTAAACTGTAAAAAAGTATGCAAACTTAAGGCTTAAATGCAATGTTGGTTCTTTATATCCTTCAAAGATCCTCGCATATAAAAATCCTAAGATGTTTGTCAATTGTCTAAAATATTTGGTCCAAAGGACCTTGGTAGTCAAAAGAGACGCTAAAGTCATTAATTACATTTAAATAAACATTAGAAACATATATACAGGATATAACGGCCCCAATCCATTTGGAGCTTGCTACAATTTGGTATCACATCTTGAAAGTTTTTTTTTTTTTTGATAATTTACTTGAACCATCTAAATCCATTTGACATAATTCACATCCCTAGGAGAAGACTTTAAAAATTAAATGACTCAAAACCCTTCATAAATGTTTGAAGCTTTAAAATGTTATTTTTTCCCCTCTGACTCTATTGATTGGGTTAGGCTGAGGGGACTGTAGAAATTAAAAAGATCTCGGTCTAATACTGTGTCTTATTTTACATACTTCCAGCAGGACTTATGAAAAATTCTTGCACCACTCACTGTGAGAATATGAGGCTGCGCTGCTGCTTCAGATGTGAAGCAAACCATTTGGTGTTTCACTAAATTCTGGATGTAATGTTTTTCTTATTAGATTGATTGTCAGGAACTTCATTTTATGTGTAACAAGATAGAAGTTGGAAACTTGTGTTATCTGACTGATTTTCTGATTTGCCCCACCACATGGCACAGTCAACAATTAGATTAGCTGTTTCAAAGAGTTTCACCATTCCAAATCTCCACATCGCCACTTGGGAAGAAGCAAGCCAAGTTGGGGGTGGGGGAGGGTAGTTGCTATGGTGACGAGGCCTGTGGGCATAAACACACTGCCCCACCAGTAACCATCTCTTTTGAATTTTAGTCATTTGGCTACAGTAAGGAAAAAGAAAAATGGTGAGCGAGTCATTTATTGATCATGCATCAACTTTCAGTGATGAAGAAATAATGAATATAACTATTCTTCATTTTTTTCTCAAGAATAAGTAATTCTTGTACTATTAGAGAAAACTTATATCTCTTGACCATAAATACAGGAAAAATGTAATTTCCTGTTACAACTCACTGTTTTGAGAATGAATGAAAATAACGTCTTTGATGGGGTTACTTACCCAGCAAATTATCTTTCTATATAAAGAAAAGGACATATGTATTTGGTGTCATTAATATTATGAAAAAAGAAACAAACAGAAGGGGAACTCTTAAAAGAAAAAGAAAATGGAAAGTCAACTCACAAAAAGCAAACTCTTGAATCTTGTGGATTTTACTCCAAAGGAAACTTTCCTACCATTTTGCTTTTAAGGAAGATTCTACACTCTTATTACTAGGTTGTTTAAAAATAATTCACTAAGCCTACCAGATTTAAGCATTAGTTTTTCATTAAGTAAAGCCTATCAAATATACTTTTCACATAAATATTTTGGTCACAGTTCATTATTGGTTAATAACTGAAATATATTGTCAACACATTGTTAATTTGATCTAAATTATGACTCAAAAGATCTCATTTTTTAATTAGAACATCATTTCTTATCACCACAATGTTACAGTCTTTATTTAAGCATTCCTTTGAGATAGACTGAAACTGATTTCCCAGATCTTCGGTTAACGAGAATACTATATCCCAATGTACTATAGATTATTTCCCATTGTAGCCTTATTTCTAGTGATTGACAACAGAAGCCAGCTTCACACATGCCCAGGGGTAGTCCTGCACAGATGTACAAGGGAATTAAAAGCCTACCCTCCTCACTGATTTTAAGGTAGCATTCATCTCACCTTATCACCGGGTGGCAAGTTTTCTTAACTGAATCTAATGTGTGACAAAGTAACAGTTCACAGGATTATTTAAAATTCTGTCTTCTATCTAGAACTTTCTTTCCCTCACTCTGTGATTTCACATAGAACACTACTTTGGGCTGGCCCAGTGGCATAGCAGTTAAGTTCATGTGCTCTGCTTTGGTGGCCCAAGTTCGCGGGTTCAGATCTCAGGCGTGGACCTACGTACCACTCATCAAGCTATGCTATGGTGGCATCCCATACACAAAATAGAGAAAGGTTGGCACAGATGTTAGCTCAGGGCCAATCTCCCTCACCAGAAAAAAAAAAAAAGAACACTGTTTTATTTGAACAGCCAGTCTTTATCAGCATGAAGCTAGGTTTTGACCAATGAGGATGTGGACAGAACTGTTCCTTTTTCTCCCAAATGCTTCTTCAATCTACTTTATCAAAGCAAAACTGAGAAGAGGTTTCTGGTGAAACCAGATCAAATGATGTGGACAGGGATCAGGATTTACTTATTATTATGTCTCCCCTAATATGATAGGATCAATATTAATCCTCAGGGAAAGGATCTCCATGCTGTTAGAAGGCCTCTGGAGGTTCCAATACAGCAGCATCTTTGCCAAAGGAGTCCTACAAACGATATATAGGGGCCCCGTCGTTCTTGTCAGTCACGGGCCCTCTTGGCTGCAGGTACCAGATTTAGCATATGTTTCTCTCACTGTGGGGAACTGCACAGGATAATTTTACCTTACATATTGGATATTCTAATAATGTAAATTAGTAGTGGATAATAAGGTTCTTACTTGGAGAATAGGATTCTCAAGTTAGAGAAAAATATGTAGATGGTTGTTGTATGTTTCACTTCTTACTGCCTCTGTGTGTTATGATTATTACTCCAAATTAGAATTGGTATACAGATGGTTAACTAATTTAAAGGAATGCTCTTGTTTATGCCTCTACCCCTACACTGCCCTCAATCTTTATACATGATATGATAACCTTCAAGAAAAGGTTAAGGATATTTTCTGTAAGAGAAAGAAAACAAAAGGAACAATTGAAAAATTTTAACTACATCTAATCATTTATGGCCACACATGGTAACGAAGGAGAAAAAGAGAGGAATCGGCAGTGGAAAGGTGATCTTTTAAAACTTGCATTGCCAGGGTAAACAATCAAATCATGGCACAAGATGTGGGGAAAAAAGATGGTAAGAAACAGAGCTAAAAAAGAAGGGCAAAGGAAGACCAGTTTTTATTTTCTATAGAGAGAGAGTCAAAGATGTAAACCCTGTTATTTTTTAGTAGGTTGAGTGAACTGAGAATAAACAGTTGTACATATGTTTGGATATTTGGTTTTAGTAGGCTAACTCTGACTTCAAAGATTTGGCCTTACACAAGGACATCAGACTAGGCATAAAGAGTATATGAGGAGCTATCTTCAAAAGTGAAAACAAGCTCCTCAGAGGGTCCCTCCCTCAAATATTCTCCTAGTTCCACTTTGCCATACACTTTTGGAATAGACGCCACGTTCAATTTCCATGTAGATCTACTGACTGAGGTAAAATGATAGGAGATTACTTGACAGGCCTTCAGAAGTTCTTTGTAATTTCCTGTTTTATTAGGTAGCAGTAGGAAGAAAACATAACACTAATCAAGTATGGAAACTTAAACAGAAGAACATTAAAAAGCCCGTTAACTTGGCTTTCCATTAAGTACACTATGTAATTATCTTTTATTCATTTCACATTCTGTGTTCTATATTACTTAATTGCAAAGAAAAGAGTACTTGTGTACACTAATTGCTAAATGTATAAGTGATTGAATGATCCTGTGCTCAATTTGTGAGAGGAAAAAATATTAATGAAGACAATACAAAGAAGGCAAAAATAGGGGTCAGAATCAATAAAAGTATATACTGCTCTCTTAGTAAAACAGGATTTAAGAACAGATAGTATAAGAAATAATTTACTTATCTCCTACAATTGATCTCATTCATTTTATTCCTACTTCAAAATTTAAAAAAAAATCTATCACATCAGATTTAAACATCTGCAAAGAAATATTAATGATGAAAAGTCAATTAGTAGAACCATTTTATGTGCAAGGATGGGAGCCCAAGAGTAACAAATCTACATCTGGTAAAAGGCTGTTACACTGAATCTTGAAAACAACCATTTTTAAGTTGGTATGCTTTCCTTTTCCATACATAAAAAATGGTCTGTGTTTATTGATGTCTGAAATTGGTGACTACATGAGGAGGATCATAGTTTATTTATTTCATCTAAGAACTAAACACTAAACTAGTTTAAAAACCTAAAGAACTGCCCTTAACTAGTCACAAAGATTATTTTTACTCCTGGTTCTTATCAAGGAATAGAATCTTAATCTCTTTGATGCCGAAGTCTTTTAAAATGTTTTATCATAAAATATAATATTCATGGAGAAGCAGTTGAAGGATGTTTATATAGTCCATTAAGTTTTCTATAGTCTTTAAGTTTTTGCCTGGATTCTCTTTAGTCCATTAGAGACCTGCATACTTGGAATAAAGGTTTTAGCAACTTGTAGAATTGTTTTTTGCTGCTTTTTTTGCTGAAATATACTTTGGTGCTAACACCTAGAAATGCTCTAATAAACATCTCTATGAATTTTATCGTTGCATTTTTTTGTACAGATAGTGGATAGTGGTGAGGCCATCATCTTTTACATCACACCAGTGTCCTTTTATGAGACCCATGAAAAAGAATTTATTTACTTGTTTTCCCCAAGAAAAGCTGGTCAGGGGACACTGTAAATCTTTTAAGTGACTGTGGTGGTTTTAAAACATGTCTGCAAATTCTTTGCCACTCCATCAATCTAATTCCCCTCCCTTGAATATGCCCTACTTCACTGACCCAGTTCTAGTGAATAGAAAGGAATAGAAGTGATACTGCATGATTTGGGAGACTAGGATATAAAGGCAACACAGCTTCTACCCGTTTATCTTTCTCTTTCTCTCCTCCCCAGCATGCCTTGGAGACCTTTGCCAACATATATAAGAAGTTCAGCTACCTGAGCCAGTATGCTGGAGAGACCACATGGAAAGACCATATAGATATAGACAGAGATGCTCAAGAAATGCCAACTGTTCCAGCCTCAGCTCTTTGAGTCTTCCCAGCATCAACTGCCAAATATTTGAGTGAGAAAACCCTCAGATGGTTATAGCGCCAGCCTTCCAGCCAAGCTGGCTAAGGCCAGGTGGTACAGAAATGAGCTGTCCCCACTAAGCTCTGCCCAAATTACAGATACATGAGCAGAATAAATATTGTTACTCTTGTGTGATAGGCATAATAATGGCCTCCCAAAGATGTCGATATCCTGCTCCCTGGAGTCTATGAATATGTTAGGTTATATGGCAAAGGGGAATTAAGGTTGCAGATGGAATTAAATTTGTTAATTAGTTGACCTCAAGATAGGGAGATTATCCTGGATTATCCAGGTGGGCCAATGTAATCATAAGGGTCCCTAAAAAGGGAAGAGGGAGGCAGAAGAAGAGAATCAGAAGGAGACATGAGCACAGAAGAATGGTCAGAGAGATGCAACATCACTGACTTTGAAGATGGAGGGGAGGGACCATGAGCCAAGTAATGTGGGTAGCCTCTAGAAGCTGGAAAAGGCAAGGAAACGGATTCTTTCCTAGAATCTCCAGAAAGAAATGCAGCCCCACTAACACCTTGATTTTAGCCTAAGATCTATGTGAGACTCTTGACCTCCAGAACTTTAAGATAATAAATTTGTGTTATTTAAGTAACTGTTTGTGGTAATTCATTACAGCAGTAATAGAAAACTACGCACTCTTGTTTTAAGCCTCTAAGTTTGGGGGGGGGGGGTTTCTTATCTACCATTCTATAAGCAAAACAGTGATCTTGCTTAATTCTCACTTTTGGCTTATAGGAAGCTTGAACCAAATCAATGAGCCATCTTTGACAACTTTGTAGGATCTCATTTCTCCACCCTAATTTTCCCTTTTTCTTGATATGCTTCCTCTCTTGCATTATGCTTATTTTTTTATACTACCTCAAATCCTTTTAGAACAGGGCCAGAAATAAATAAATCAGATTGACTAAAACAATATATTTACCATGACCTACTAGAAGTAATGACCCAGAATGAAGACTATCTTTTCCTTGTCTCTATTAAAAAACAAACCAAAACTTTAAAGCAGATAAATAGCTAGGGAGGGCATCAACTGAAGACAGAAGAAATATTTTACTTTAATATTTTCTAAAAACAGGGGAAAAAAGGGTTTAACTCTTTTGTTTTGCAAACTTTTTATTGAAAATATAAAAAATGTATGTGCATATGTATGTGTATCTATACACAAATATTATAAATATATAATATTTCAGTTTTGTATATTGTTTGCTTAAGGAAGAGAGTATAAAAGAAAAGACAAATGAAAACCAGGAGTTGATGGAGAAAGACAAAAAAAAAAACTTTGATGTACACACCTACAGAGAGAAAGAGAAAGCTGGATCCTCACAGAGACAAACAAGAGACAGAGAATCCAACAGGAATGCACACAAATGCATACAAAAAGAGGTACATTCAGAAAGAAGAGACAGGCACTTCAATGGCATAACTAACACTCCCAGCAGATGCCTTTTGGAGATATTCTTATGAGGATTTCTGATTTTCACATTCTAAGATAATAATAAGGATACTATCTACCTCTCAGTATTTGCTCTATAAACTTAGTGAATCCGGCCTTCCTCAGGTCTTCTCAGCTTCAGAAACCAAGGCAGCACAGCCTCTTCTGATTCCTGAGCCAGAGTAACCAGGGCAGAAAGGGCAGAATAGAGGCAATTAACTGATGGTTGGGATCCTTTCTGTTGCTTTAGCTAACTCTTCTGTACTTGCCTATCCCCCTACCTGCCACCTGCCTGCAACCATCTCTGTATGGACCACATCCACATCACAAGACCTCTGTCTCAGTTCTCCTTATCTGCCCCTACCCCTAGCACACTTGTGAGCTGGATGATCTATTAAAGTGTACCTCTGTCTCTCCTACGTACGTAATACTACTGGCTGGGGTCCTGCTCCAAAACATATGCATCAAGCAAAGCCATAGATTCTGACTGCTGTTCTCCCCCTGACTGCAATTTTCTCCTCCCTTTCAATATTATAATTTGTACTTTTGAACACTTGATTGAGATCACTACCTAGCTCTGTCTATAATTTCGCTTATAAAAGAAATAGCAGAAGAGTTCCCTCACGTGGGGGCAGAGGCGAAGTTATTCTGCATGTCAGCTACAAGCCAGAAAAAGCAGAAACAAACATGATGCATAAGTATATATACAGTCCCGTTTCTGCAGAGTCCCTTGACTTAGCAAAGCTATCTGTCTATTGGGAATCAAAGTGGAAGGAGAACAAAATCTTGAAAATTCTTAAAGACTGCATCTTATACTTCCTTGTGTCGCTACAATGGTTGGCATTTAATGCTCACAGGATTTAATGGCTACCGAAATCGCTCTCATCATCATAATCAACAAAATATGGAAACCTGTGAAGCAGTGTAGAGGACTAAGTAACACTAAGATATTTACCCCCACTTGAGAAAGTAAGACCCCCTTTAATCTTGGGCACCAACAGGAATTCCTCATTATCCTTGAGATAGGTCCACCCATGTCACAAAAATGTTGCACATGAGTTCCATTTTATATCAGTAGAGTGCTTCCCAGTTTATAAAGCACTTGTGCATTAATCACATAGAATGAAGTCTCTTTCTGCTCTGGCTGTTTCTATACAAGTAGAGTATTATTTGGAGATAATGTGCTTCACTGAGCCTGCACTGAGCAACAGCTGTAAATCAAGATTGACTTTTTGAACCTAACTTTGCATAATTCAACAAGCTACTCAACATCTTCTGTCTAAGCAGGCTCAGAACTTATAAGAATCTTCAAAGCTAAATAACTACCCAATGCTGTCTCAAAATGATTAAATAACGAAAAGGTTTTGCATTAACAAATCAAGAATGACTCACATTCTGTCTTATTCTTCACTGATCAAGAAGTGACAGAGAAAGTGCCATTTACAAAGAGAAATGTCATAAAATGATTGAATTGTGAATTTCTTCTAGGTCCCAATAATAAGAAAATGACCACAAAAGAAGGTAGTAGATGGAGGCAGATAACCGCTCTTAAATACTAGTCTGTCAGGAGACAAATTTATCAGTCTCGGAGGCAGATTTAGTCTTAGCTCAGAAGTAGTCAGTTCTGCAGCTAACGAGTATACTGCTCTTAATCATTTCATTACATTTACGACAGAACAGCGTAAATCAGAAACCTCAGCAAGTCAATACCTAGTTAATAGGTGCTTCAACATGGTACCACAACACAACTTCACCATTGTGCTGAAACCTTTACTTCCTTTTCCTCTCTGCTGCAATTATTTGGAAGGATGGTGACCAGCTTCTCTACCAACCATATTCTTCATTGTCTCCTGATTTTTTTACTTTCTTCCCCCAGAGTCACCCTCCTTCCCTTGTAGTGTGGTCTTAGTCATCAGTAAATCTTTGTTTACCATCTTTTTTCCTCCAGCTCTGGTTGCTCCAGGGATTGATCCATCCTCAGGCAGGCTATACCTGGAAATTCTCATTGTTTACACCACTCATGCCAGCAAATGAAAAGGATAATGGGAAGGAGGAGGAGAGCAAATGCCTACTGAGTTCTTACCATGTATCAGACAATTTTTTCAACTATATTTGTCACAATAACCATATAGGTAGGTTATATTACTATTCCCGTTTTACTAAGGAGGATAGTGAGGTTTGGAAGCATTAAGAAACTTGCCCAAGGTCACAGGAAGTGGCACAGTAAGGGTTTAAACTACGACATAAGACCCCATGCACTTAATCATCACAATAATAATTTGCATTACTCGTAGAGTTTGAAGTCATAAGAAGAAATCAGAATTGCCATCACAGCACTATAACCACACTGAAGTAAGTAATCATAATATGCTAGATAATAAACTCAGCTCTGTGGTTTCCACAAAGCTCAATTATCTAGTATTATTATTTAGTTATTTCATACGTATGAATGTGTTTTATATCTTCAATTATACTCGAAGTTCAGGAAGAGCAACAGCTATGCTTATACAAGTTAAAATTTCTTCTTTAGTGCCAAGTGTATTGCTATTCATAAAAATAATCAATATATAATAGTTGAAATATAAATTGTGTGATATCAAAATATCCCCTTAGGGCCTTAAAGAGTATAGGTATCTGATATCTAATGAATGTAATATACAATTTTTCTGGGGGTAAGGGACAGAAAAAAGAGTTATAATGGTCCAGGGAAGGACAGAGGTTGGGGGTAAGTATATACTTAGGGAGAGCTTAGACAGGGAGGCAAATGATGGAATGTAGAGCATCAGGACCGGCATGAGAGCCCTGGATTGGAGATGCATAAGAAACACCCTTTACTTCATTCTATACACTTTACAGGAATGTTCCAAATGTTTCCATGGGGACAAAGAAGAGCATCAGGGATTTCCCTGGCCTTAAACATACTGAAATGAAGGATGTTACTAACCCCTAAAAAGGGATGTTATTGGCAGCCGCAAAAGTAACCCTTCTGAATTGAGTATAGTGTTCAGGTAATCCATATCTCATTCCCATTGACCCTTATTCCTGACTAACTTGTTCTCCCCTCCATCCCGTCTACCCTTCTCAGTAAACATTCCTACCATGTACCTAATTGTTCAGCTTTGATCCCTCTCTTTCCCTCAGCCCCTTTATCTACTCCTCAGCAAGTCTTTTAACTTCATCTTTAAAACATATCCATCCTCCTTCCATGGCAATTCCTTTCCATTTCCATTCTATCACCCTAATCGAAGTCACCATCATCTCTTGTTTGGATTATTATAGCGCCCCAAGCCCACTACCTAGCTTCCTGCTACTATTCTCATCTCTTATTACAGTCTGATACACACCAACATCATGATCATTTAAACATATAAATCAGATCATGTCACTCCCTTGCTTCAAACACTTTAGTGGCTTCCTATCTCACTTAAAATAAAATCTAAGCTCTGCCATGGCCCACAGGTTTTATGTGGTCTAACCTGACCTCCCTCTCTGGCCTCATCTTCCACTAACTACTCTCCACTTCATACTCTACCAGATGACCCTTCTTCCCCTTTTTCATACATGTCAAGCTCATTAGCACCTTAAAGTCTTGCTATTCCCTCTACTTTGAATACACAGACCCTGTATCTTCACAGGACCACTCTTTTCTATTAATCAGGTCTGGGCCACCTTCCCTGACTACTCAAACCCTCAAAACTCCTACTCCACTGAACTCAGTCAGTGGATATCATCACATCCTCTTCTATTTTCTTCATAGCACCTACCACTATCATTTATTTATTTACTTGTGTGTAGTCTGTCTTTATATCCCATCCCCCACCTCCTTACACCGTAGTTGCATACAGTCTCATGAGAGTAGGGACTTTTAGCAATTTATCCACATTGCCTAGAATAACACCAGTTACACAGTAAGGCTCACTATTTCCAGAATGAATGAATAAATGGATGAAACACATTAAAAGTTTTACTTGCTGAAGCTCTTTCTGAAATTGCTGCCTAAGAATTTATTTTGAGTGTGTAGAATAGTTTTTACTTTTTCAGATGATATTTTAGAAAATATTTGATATTTTTGCCCTAGTAAAACTGGGAGGATATGTCACCTACATCCTCCTTATACACATACTGTTAATACTGTGATCCTCCCTATATGAATCTA